CAGGATGGTCTCGATCTCCTGACCTCGTGATCCACCCGCCTCGGCCTCCCAAAGTGCTGGGATTACAGGCTTGAGCCACCGCGCCCGGCCAATTTTTGTGTTTTTAATGGAGATGGGGTTTCCCCATGTTGCCCAGGCTGGTCTCGAGTTCGTGGCCTCAAGTGATCTGCCCACCTTGGCCTTCAAAAGTGCTGGTGTTGCGGGAAATAGAGGACTAGAGAGACTAGGTAGACCAATATGGAGAACAGGAGGATTGTTTATTTGAGGGTATGCACCGGATTCGTGGATTCATATCTAAAAAGCTGAGCATTGAACAAAGACGGAGCGGGGCTTTTATAAGCAAACTCACAGAAGCAAAACAGAAGCTGTTAATCATACAGTGACCGGTCACATAATCTACAGGGAACTGTTGACTTGGCATAACTTGTGGCCTTGCGTAGCCGGTGGCCTTGTAGCTGCCTCGAAAAAAAAATAAGAACCGACTAAATACAGACATTTGTAAATACATCATCATGCTTAAGAAGCCAGGGAAAGCAGTAACAGTAAAGGAATTTGTCTTTCTGTCTTTTGTTTTCTTTTAACTTTGCTCTGGAAGTGGGGGTTGTCTGGAGCCTATTCCTTTGGCCTTGGCTTCTCAAACAGTGTTAGCTTATAACTGTCTTTGAAGTGAGCTTACTAGACAGAGGAAAACTTGTTCTTTTCTTTTTAACCTTTGCCTTGCCTGTGACCTATCTTGGAGTGAATGAATGCATATTTATTTTTAAAGTCGTGCCTCAGTTTCTTCCTTTTGATGCCTTTTATAAAAGAAGTTTAACAGAAGGCATCACTATTACTTAGTTCTGCCTGAAGAGACAAGTTTTCTTCTTTAGGCACAGGCTGATATTTACACAGATCCATTAGCTGAGTGGTAGTTTGCTTAGCTACTGTTGCCTCTATAGTTGACTGAATGCTTCTAACAAGGAGGGGTAAGAGGCAAGGGAGTATTGGGCAAACTCTTAGTGTGTCCAGGACTATTCTTATTAAATCCACTGAAGAAGGAAAACCAGCCTCCAAAGAGGGAATCTGGAGACTGCCTTTTCCAAGTTTGGACTGGAACATGGAATAATTTTCTCATTCTTGAAGTTATTTCTATAACTGCCTTTCCATTGTCATCAGTTTCCAGGAAGCAATTTGTTAGACTGAACTTTCCACATACTCCTCCTTCCTGGGCTAGGAGGTAGTCTAAAGCTAATCTGTTCTGATAAATAGCATTCTTCATTTTTGTGGCTTGCTGGGCCAGTAAATCGAATGCATTTGCTGTTTCATTAGTGATCATTTCAAGTACTGCCTGCAACCTTATGATGCAGCTAAGCGTGTAAATAGGAGTGCGGTATCCTCATGACCTATCTTGTGCCCACGTAGCTGGCCTATAGTATTGAATTATTCTTTCAGAGAGCCAATCTGTCTTTCTAATCTCCTATTTCTGTATCTCTTTTTATGTCTGCATCTCTTTTGCTTCTTCTAACTTCATCATAGATGGGATACTTTAAAGTTTCTCCCTGTTGCAGTGGGAGTAGGAAAAAACATGGTCTAATTGTTTCAAACACACAGGACTTTGTCCATTTAGCTGACAACTGTCAATAAGCCTGTGGCTTACAGATCCAATAAAGACCAGGGGGTGCTTGCCAAGCATTTGGAGCTTCAAGCTGATATCAGGTGTGGTTTACAGGAGAGAAACAGGAGAATGGATTTGGATGAGGTGCTTTGGAGTCATCTCTGCCTCGCCACAAAGTTTTCTTTAGTGTTTCAATATAATATTGCTGTCCTAAGCAGGTTAGTTCTCCTACTGCGTCAGCAAGCAACACAGTATCTCTTGATGATAGACGTTTTTAAGAGCCAGACACTTGAACTTGTGGGCATCAGTTCTGGGGAAGAGTCAATGAGAGTTAAATTATCTTGTGGCATTAACTCTTTTGCTTCCTGAGGCCATTGGTCTCCTATGTTAGTCTTTCTACAAACATAACATGAAATGCCTGGGCTGCCAGCAGTGTGTTCAGCCAGTTGAGCAAACAGGTTTTCAGCTAAAGGAGTAGGCTCTGGTAACTTCTGGTCTTCTTGCTCATAGAATGATTTAAGAGTTGGAACTGTTGCTGGGCTGGCTGGGTCCGGGGTCTTTTTTTGATAACATATACGTAGGTTGCTGAGTGTGTGTGTATATAGACGTGTATGGGGTGACCTGCAGTCTACATGGGTATGTCTGGCTTTAGAATGGTGACATTTACAGGATTACAGGTTTTTGCTTCACAATCTGGTTTCACTGGCATTTTGGTAAGCATAATTGACCTTTGTTGTGTGCCAGGGTGCTACGATATGCAATGCCAACAATCTTTTACTGGGATCCTAGGGGAACAAGGTGGAGTTACTCTTGGCATGCATACATATTTGTTGTCATTTCTACAGTATCTTTCTAAAGGTAAATTACCACAGACAGGGGAGTCTTGGTCTGCTGCCTGACAAGCATCAAAATACAGAGAAATAGGCCCTTGGTAAAAGGGAGGGACCTTGGTTTGGTTTAAGAGGGGACCTTCCTTTGACCTCTTACGATGAGTCTCTTGGCAATATTTCTTCAGTAACTGCTTGAGTGTCTGGTTCATGCGTTCTACTTTTCTGGAACTTTGCGGCCGATAGGCTTCTTGTTATGTTTCATGTTATGTTTGTAGAAAGACTAACACAGGAGACCAATGGCCTTAGGAAGCAACTTCTATTTTATTTTTAACAGTCTTGTTACGTCTTGCACTATTTCAGCTACAAATGCCGGCCTATTGTCTGACTTTAAAGTTAGAAGCTGTCTAAACCTGGGGATAATGTCTTTTAACAGTACTTTAGTCACTTCTTGTGCTTTTTCTGTCCTGGTGGGGAAAGCCTCAACCTATCCTGAAAAAAGTGCAAATAAACACTAGCATATACTGATAGCCTCTGGCACGGGGCATTTTGGTAAAGTCTATAAGCAACTTTTCACAAGGCATGAAGGCGTGGCTCCTTCTCCTGTTCAGTTTCTTAGAGGAGGGGTTCTTTTTCTCTCTCTCTCTCCCTCTTTTTTTTTTTTAACTTCACATAATGGCTTAGCCATCAGTGAGAAATTTATAATCTAGATACAGGAGAATCTTACTGCTTTCAACCTCTAATGTGACAATGGGCTCTTGGAGGCCAAATGAGAAGGAGTGCGGTCTGTCTTCGTCCTCCCATCTTTCAGCTCCTGCTAGCCTGATCAGATCAGTATCTGGTTCCTCTAAGGTGCGGCAGCCTTTGGCCAATGGCCTTTTTGTCTCACGGCCTTGGCCATTTCTTTCATTGCCTTCTGGACATTCATCTTTCTAGCGTCCTTTCTTTTTGCATCTCGCACACTGATCCTTCTCTAGCCTTGGTCAACTTTCAAATCCTTGTCTAACTTGACTTATTCTATGTCCACGTCTGCGTCCATGTCATCTTACACTGCTAATCTCTTTTTCTATAAGAGCTGCTGCCAACAGATCTTAAGCCTCCAATCTGCTTCTTTCTTTGCCTCCTGGTCATGGTTAACATACACTTTGGAGGCTACTTCTGTAAGCTGGGTGGCATTCATACCTGCAAAACTTTATAACTTCCTCTTCCTCTTCTTCTTCTTTTTTTTTTTTTTTTTTTGAGACAGAGTCTCGCTCTGTCACCCAGGCTGGAGTTCAGTGGCACAATCTTGGCTCACTGCAACCTCCGCCTCCTGGGTTCAAGCAATTCTCTGCCTCAGCCTCCCAAGTAGCTGGGATTATAGGCGCCCACCACCACACCCGGCTAATTTTTTGTATTTTTATTAGAGGTGGGATTTCACCATCTTGGCCAGGCTGATCTCGAGCTACTGACCTCATGATCCACCCGCCTCAGCCTCCCAAAGTGCTGGGATTACAGGCGTGAGCCACCACGCCTGGCCAAAACTTTCTAACTTCTGAAGCTTTCGTTTGATTTCACCTTGGGCCTGTCCTACAAATGACGTATTCACTATACGCTGATTTTCAGTGGCCTCAGGGTCAAACGGGGTGAAAGCCAGTATACCTCACAGAATCTTTCATAAAACTGGCTAGGGCTCTCATCACTTCCTTGAAGCACTTCTGAAATCTTCTCTATATTAATGTCTTTCTTTCCACCATCTCAGCCTTTGCAGAGGTGCCTCTTAGTACCTCTGCAA